GGGTGGGGCAAAAAAATTGAATTTAAAAACAAGCTTTAAAATTATTATTTGGGGGGCTGATTTGAGGGTAGGGACAAAATAAATTGATTTTTTCAACAAAAGAGTAATTGTAATTTGAAGTTGAAAGAAAGTTTTGGAAAATGTTTTCCTTAAGTTTTGAAGGGAAGTCATTTTCCTTAAATTTGAGGAAAATGAGTTGATTTGGAAAACATTTTCCAAAACATTTAACCTAACCAAACATGAGAAAATTGGAAAACATTTTCCGGAAAATGTTTTCCTTCATACCAAACACACCCAAAGGCTTGCTTTTGCTATTTTCATATAACCTCGTCCCTTTTATTTAGTTTTTTCTATGACTTAAATTTGTATTATTGAATGTGACCAGTTTTATCAGCCGATGAAAAAGAAAGTACAATTATGAAAGGGCTTGAGAGTGGAGTTATTTTGTTTATGGGGAAGCCCATATCACAGAACAATATTAATTATTTGTGGAATTATGCTACTGTGGGAAAGAATCATAAAGGCAAACATGTTATTAATCAACAGAATCAAGACAATACCAATGAAAGAATCCCCCATGAAGTAATTCATATTGAATCTTCATCGTCGAACAGTGAGAGGGACAAGTCCATGAGAAAATGTGAAGAGACTGAAAGCGAACAGAGTTCATCTCCACCGTCAAAGAAGAGTAGAGTTGTTTGGACAGATCCCCTTCATGACAAATTCGTGGAAGTCGTTTCAAAACTTGGCATGAAGAGTAAGTCTTCTCACTAACCCTCCACTGGAGAAACCCTTAAGACTTAAACTTAGCAAATTAAAATCAATCCATCAAATCAACAATATTATGTCTAACAAAGTTTTATAAATAAATAAACTTCATAAATAAGTTAAAATCTTATTTAACAACTCTCCAAGAACTGAAAGTCATCGTAACAACTCCACAAACAAAGTCAATTCCACTAAAATGTCTAACAACTAAAAATTAAGATTGAATGTCCCCGTGTATGAAACATGGACATGAATTGTAAGATGATCCTTGGTAGCCTGAACACCACCCTGTGATAAAAAATAAAGTCTACGCTAGATATGGGGTTTTGGAGGAACCCCATGAATAAGATTTGCACTCAACAAAAGAAGAGTAGATGTTAGTATTACTATGTACTGGTAGGCATCATAGACTCAAATTTTAAAGAAAAAGTAACACATAAACCAAATAACAAGTAGATTAGACTTGAACAAAAAAATAATTCACAATTATTAAATATAATCATCACAAGGTTATCAATAATAAGTCATTCAACAATACCATGCTCAATGAACCATTAACCTACACAAAAATAAACAAATTATACATCAATGTTAAAGGATTTATTTATGTCAATAGCCATAATTTGCAGGGACCAGCTTCGTTCATATATCATATAACCTTCGATACATACATACATATATATCATCACTAGCAAGCATGTATAAAGACCAATCAATAAGCAATTTGCTCAAAAGTATATATACATAAATCTAAGTATGTTCTAACAAATTAAATGATGTTAGAAGGGTGTAATGAACTTACCTTGATAATAGAAAAAACCCTAGAAGGTTAAAAATTGCATCTCTCAAGCTTAGAAATGAGTCTTTGAGAATTGGAGAGAAAATGACATCTAAAAGTGTGTTGGATATAAAATCTGTTGAAGTCTTCTACAACAGGCTTTCCTTCTATGTCATGTTCACTATGGTGGGCCAACTGACCTCTATAGTAGTCCCCTGCAGGGCTAGGGCCTCTATGATATGAAAGAACAATTTTCTGTATCGGTTCGTTTTGCTAGAGCGATGGGGTCTCACTATGATGAAGTTTAGTAATGATTTTTCTAAAGTTCTTCCATACACCCCATTTCACAATGCACTTAAGATTTCTTAGATGATACAAGCATATCCCACAACAAAAGTTCCTATAACGTGAGTTCTATTAATCTAACTTTCATTTCGAAAGTTTTTATCGCTCACTAACCCCTCCCACTAATATAATCTAGGATCAAAACAATCAAACCTCAACTAAAGAATCACAAATGACTCTCAAACCCTATAACATATTATTTGTTTGCTAAAAACTATTATAATTGGAAATTTTCATCTAATCTCATCCCGACAAATTCCATCTAATTATATAAATTTCGAGGACTACCACAACGATAGAACATATCTTTAATGCATGCAATATTATATTAAAATAACAATCATAAATGAGTAGCCTTAGATTTTGTATATAAAAAATATTACATAAATGAATTATTGAAATGTTGAGGGTAAAATAGAGATACATGAAATAAGGGTGAGGTGGTGGTTAGAGAATGTCTATTATGCAAAGTTTAGGGGATGTTTGATATTTAAATCAAAGTTTGAAGTGTGTATTATTTTCAATCCATTGAATATTGTAACTTCTCTTAAATGGAACTCAAGTATCCATATATATGAGATATTAAGCATTTTCTTGAATAAAAGCTATGAAATTTGAAAGTTATAGTTATATTAATTTATGCGCATGTTAGAAATTCCATGATAAAATAAATTTTCAAAGTTAGATAAACATTGTATAGAAATTTACATAAAGAAAAAAATTGTATAATTTTTTTTTTTATTGTTAGAACAAAGTAATCATTCTCGTGCTTACAAACTTTGTAGAAATATCGTATGGGCTTGGAAAAGAACAATAGTTCAGAGTTGGTTTCAGATGTGAGTAAAATCACATTTAGTAATGCTAACGAATTATCCACAAGGAAAGCAACTGACAATATTTCAACTAGAGTTCAACAACTTATGATAGAAAATTCGAATTTTGTTGATCATGCTATAGAGGTTGATCATCAAGTCTCCCAGTTTAGTCAAAGGGAGAAAGAATTGGCAAGAATATTGTGCCGTCATATAAATCAAAAGTCTCATCATATTGAATTTGGAGAGACTTCAGTAGAGTTATCCACTTTACAAGAGAGTTATGAAAGTACTAGAAATGGAGGAACTAGTACTACAGTAGATGACTTTGCTATGTTGGACAATGTTTATTCTATACCACATTCAACCGAACTTACTCCAATTATTTCTGGAAGCTAACTGAATGTTCAATCTCCTAATATGGTATGTTTTTAAATTTTTTAGATTTGTTCGTATTTATTTTCTGATATTCTTTAAGTTCAAGAAGTTTGCAATCTTTCTAAAGTATTAATTTGATGATTTTTAGTGTACAATTTACTCCACAAACTTAACACATTGAAGCAAAACAAGAATGAGATGAAAATAATTCTTAGCTTAATTTATGGACTAGACCTACAAGTCTTTTTTCATGGACTAGACCTACACTAGTTTAGAAAAATTTAAAGTATGTCATCTTCATTTTACCATCAAGACTTTACTATATACTTGTGTTTTATCATTAAACATCATGTTTTGAAAAATGAAAGAATAAATATATGGTTAATAAGATAATTCAACATTGACGATTAAAATTATATCATATGTTGCGAATAAAGTGTTAAAATAAATATCACTAAATTTACTTACAATTTTTGGTGTCTTATATTTATATGTAGCAAGAAAATTATGAAGGTATTACATAAGAGAAATGACCATTCGATCTCCGTAATGTTCTTCCGAATTTGGAATCTGAGGTAATTTTTCATATACCTTTATTTTTAATAGAATATTTTATTATAAAAATATAATTTTAGAGTTAACCAAAATAATAAAGTTTATACATACTTTCATTTTTCTCTTCATTATCTTTCCACTTTACCCGCTTCTTCTCCCCTAGTTATATAATGAGATGATTGTACATATTTTGGTCGGGGTGAAAGGATTTTCAAGTAATTTGCCTGGTTAATTTTAAATTTAATCATTTCTTATATTTTTTGTAGAACACAAATGATTGAGTTTTTTTATATAAAAATTCAAATTTGTGTTGTATAAAATAATTTAATAATGACTCAAAAATTAGATCATAACTTATAAATACGTAGTGTAAATAATTATCAGTAAATATGTTTATAACTTTTATTGTCTTATTTCAATGCATAGCTAAGAAATTATGGACGTGTTACTACAAAGGAAGAATTGTTCCAAGTTACTTTAGAGAAAGTATCATTTCAACTCTATTATGATTTCCCAAATTCGAAACATGAGATAATTTCTTGTATATTTATATTTGAAAATAGAACATTTAAATACAAATATAAAACTAAATGAATTAACAATATTTGTAATCTCTGGTGACTTATTTTTCTATGTACCAAAAAACTTATTGTGATATTACTGAAGATGAAAAATCCTTCAATTTTTGTATCGAATATAAAATCTAAAACATTTTTTAATCTAGCTATATTTTATCATAGAATAATACACTCTAAAAATATACTTATAGAGTTGAGAGAATAAACAAAGTTGTTTTACACACTATTATGTTTTGAGGTGAAAAGGTTTCCAAAAAATTTAATTAGTTATTTTTAATTCAATTATTTGTTAAATTTTAGTTGAACACATATGATTGACTTTTATTGTATGAAAGGTAAATTTTGTGATGTATAAGATAATTCGATAATAAAACTCAAAACTACACCATAACTTATGAACACAGAAAGCAAAAATTATAATTAGTAAATATGCTTATAATTTTTTATGCCTTAGTTCAATGTGTAGCAAGAAAATTATATAGGTATTACTACAGAGGATGGATCCTTCCTACTTAACTATATATAATTCCTCAAATTCAGAAGTTGAGGTAGTTTCACTTATGCCAATGTTTGATAATAGCATATTATATTCTGAAAATACATTTATGATGAAGTTCTAGAATTAAGAATCTTTGTATACACTATTATTTTACTCTTTACTTGTTGTTCTATTTATCCACTTTCACTCCTCTAGTTAATTAGTTGAGATGATCGTGTATTTTGAGGTGACAAAGTTTTTAAATAGTATGATTGATTAATTTTTAATTTACTTTTTTCTTACCTTTTTGTAGTGTAAAAATGAACTCCTTTTGTTAAATGAGTGGTTATATATGTGTTGAATAAGATAATTCGAAATTGAATATCAAAATTAAATCCTAACTTGTGAAAAAATAGTGTGAAAATAATTTTCATGAAATATACTTACAACTTTTGGTGTTTATTTTACTATGTAGCAAAACAATTACAATGATATTACTTCAGATGAAAGATCGTTCAGTTTTTGTAATGTTCTCTCGAGTTCGGAACCTCAGGTAATTTTGTTGTATACTTATATTTGGTCATAAAATACTATATCTAAAAATATACTTATAGAATTGAGAGAATAAACAAAAATTGTACACACAATTATATTTATCTTCATTATCTACTGTTCGTTCCACCCACTTTTCCTCCACTAGTTAATTGTGAAGATAATAGTACATTTTGAGGTAAATGAATTCACAAATAATTCAAGCTACATCGTTTCGACACCAAAACATTTTCCCCAGTTCAAAATTTGAGGTAGTTTTTTTTTTGTTATATCTATGTTTAGTCAACGATCATTGTATCTTAAATATATAATTTATAGAGTTAAAGAAAATTAAATATGTTTGTCCACAGTATCATTTTTCTCTGCATTCTACGATTCTTTTACCCAAGTTTCTTCCCCGATTAATTTGTAGAGATGATTTTATATTTTGAGATGAAAAGATTTCTCAAATAGTTTGGCATGTTAATTTTTGTAGAACATAAGTTTCAATTTTTTTTATATATAAAATATTAAATTATTATTGTATAAAA